ATTAATTCAATTTGAGGCCAGCCCGGGAGGGAGGGAGGGAGGGGCCTGGAAGAAATGCTAGGGGGCCGGGAGGGCGGGGACCCCGCGTTAGCTACGGGTCCGCCTAAATGTCTCTTCCCTCGAAAACCCCCTGAGGTCGCCATAACTTGGCTGCAACTTGATAGCGTTTTCTACCACCAGAGGGAACACTGCAACCGGCCCGTAGTTTGGCCCTTGGAACTCCGCTGGACCGGCTTCTGAGCGGGTGCGCCTTGAACTGCCATCTCAACAGGCAGAAGGGACCCAGGGAGGCTGGAGCCGTTTCCACGCCTTCCTGGTTGACTCTGAGCGGCATTGGCAGAGCTAGTGCTGGACTGCCTTTTATTTGTTTGGGTTCATTCGTGTCTGCGCATGCGCCTGTGTTTTAAGGAAACAGATGGCTGCCGTGGCCGATCCAAATGCATTTGTTTTGGATTGGGTCGTGTGTCCCCCCCCCCCCCCGCTCTAGAAATGCTAGGGGGCCAGGAGGGTGGGGACCCCGCGTTAGCTACAGGTCCGCCTGAATGTCTCTTCCCTCGAAAACCCTCTGAGGTCGCCATAACTTGGCTGCAACTTGATAGCGTTTTCTACCACCAGAGGGGACACTGCAACCGGCCCGTAGTTTGGCCCTTGGAACTCCGCTGGACCGGCTTCTGAGCGGGTGCGCCTTGAACTGCCATCTCAACAGGCAGAAGGGACCCAGGGAGGCTGGAGCCGTTTCCACGCCTTCCTGGTTGACTCTGAGCGGCATTGGCAGAGCTAGTGCTGGACTGCCTTTTATTTGTTTGGGTTCATTCGTGTCTGCGCATGCGCCTGTGTTTTAAGGAAACAGATGGCTGCCGTGGCCGATCCAAATGCATTTGTTTTGGATTGGGTCGTGTGTCCCCCCCCCCCCCCCCCCCCCCGCTTTGCAAGCTGTAGCCAAGTTTAAAGTAATGGAGCCCCGAGGCTTTTGATAAAGCGTGTGTGTGTGTGTTTCCTTTCTGACTGAGTGGACATTAGGATGGAAAACAGCATTGCAGCAGATGGGGTGTGTGTGTATTAAAAATCTGTTTTGCAGTAGCGGGGGGGGATTGTGAGATTGAAAACACGCCTTTTCCGTGCAAGCTCTGGAATGTCGTCGTTTTGCACTGTCAAGAGGTCGTAGAATAAATCACCGGCGGTGGGTCCTCCCGCGGGCAGCACGAAGCTCACAGTTACTTAAGAAGTAATCTGTTAATTGATTGTGTTCAAATACATTGGCTTGTTAACTACCGTACGGAGGTGCTGAAGGGAGCGCAGGTCTCTCCACAACGCCCTCGTTAATATTCTGTGCAATTCCCTTTTATAGCCAAGGCGAAATCTCTCTGTCTGTTGCTTTTTTATCCTGCCCTCCTTCCACAGAGTTTGAGGTTTCCCCCTCCCCCATATCCCCCTACGATAACCCTGCGAGGTAGGTGAGGCTGAGAGGGGGGCTGCCCCAAGGTGACCCAATGAGTTTCACCGCAGAGTGGCAATTTGAAAGGGCCCCTCTGTTTTGTCTGTACACAGCGACCCTTCGAGGTAGACAAGGCTGAGAGAGAGAGCGACTGGCCTGAGGTGCCCCCCCCCCATGAGCTTCATGTCTCAATAAGGATTTGAACTGGGCTGATTTGTCTCAGTCCAAGACTCTCCCCACTGCATCACACTGTCTTTCCAAATGACAAGCCCCAAGTGTATAACTGGGGGCAACAGCCCAGGGGAAGGAAGCATCACTTTTCCCCACCTGCACAGTTTCCCTGATCAAAAGTGCCACTCCCCCTAGGCTGCTTTACGCCCCAGCAGGGGATAAGGCAGGGGAAGGGAATTTAAACCCTCCCTGCCCAATCCTCCCCCAGCTCTTTTTTAGGATTAAGTTAACACCAATAGATATTGTTTTCCTTGACTTCCAGAAAGCTTTTGATAAAGTTCCTCATCAAAGGCTCCTAAGAAAGCTCAAAAATCATGGGATCAAAAACTGGCTAATTAATAGAGAGTGAGTATAAATGGGCAATTTTCTCAGTGGAGGGTGGTAAGCAGTGGGGTACCGCAGGGACAAGACTCCACAGCTTAAAGGGAGCATTGGTTACCTCATATGTGATCCCCCCACCCCCCGGTCAGATATATATATCCCAAAGCTTACGATGCCACAGTACAATCATGGGCATTTCTGTTCTTTTCCAAACAGTAGCAATAGTCGTTTTTGCAGCCACTAGAGTGTTTGACCCTCATACCCCAAAACTCAGACTGGAATCCCTCCCCCTCGCCTTGTGGGTTCTTTCAAGCCCACAGTCTTGCTGCAGCTGTAAGTGCTCACCACAGAGGGGTGATCCGTTCCCCTGAACCCGCATTACAGAGGCCAGTCTGGAGCGTGCAGCGGCCCCTGCCTTTGGTTCCTCCGGCCTGCCGTGGCCCAGTGTGGAAGAAGTGGCTTCTCTCCCATGCGGAAAGGCCAAAGGCCCCTAACCCACAAGTAGAGTTGCCAGCTCCAGGCTGGGGAATACCTGTAGACTTTGGGGGTGGAGCCTGAGGAGGGCGGGGTTTGGGGAGGGGAGGGACTTCGATGGGGTATACTGCCACAGAGTCCACCTTCCAAAGCAGCCATTTTCTCCAGGGGAACGGATCTCTGTTGCCTGGAGATCAGTTGTAATAGCGGGATATCTCCAGTCACCACCTGGACGCTGGCAGCCCCGCCCACAAGGCATCTAGAGCAGGGGCGTCAAACTCGTTTGTTATGAGGGCCGGATCTGACATAAATGAGACCTTGTTGGGCCTGTCATAAAATGTAATGCCAGGTAGTGGAGATATAAACTTTATAAAGGACACAAACACAAAGGTTTTTTTTTAACTTACAATAAAAACATGCTTAAAACATGAGCACTCTTGCAATATTTTGTTTATTTAACAGTGTCTGATAACTGACACCTCTTGCTCTGAATTATTGCGTCAAAATGTCTGTGCTGTTGCAGTCTTGGGTATGCTGTTCAGCTGTGTGTATCTGTAAGCTGCAAACCTATGATGACGCAGCAGCAGCAGAAGTGGAAGAAGAAGCAGAAGACAGCCAGTTCCACTGCGGGCCTGATAGAAGCCCTCCGGGGGCCTGATCCAGCCCCCGGGCCGCATGTTTGACACCCCTGTTCTAGAGGGCCTTTTCAGTGCCTGCAGTAGCTGCAGCTGACAGTTGGGGGCGTTGGGGAAAATGGGAAAGTTTCCTTCTTGTTATTTATTTATCTATTTATTTCATTGGATTTCTTAACCGCCCTTCCCCGCCTACCCGGGGCTCAGGGCGGTTTACAACAAGATAGTTCCGTACAATTATAAAACCAATTAAAACCATAAACATACAACGTTAAACAACATACATTTTAAACATTCCAAGAACAGATGGCCTGTCTAGCATTCAGATTTTTGGGAGGGGGGGAAGGCAGATGCAGGAAAAACCGTCGCTGGCCCCAGCCAAAAGCCTGGCAGAACACCTCTGCCTTTCATGTCCTGCGGAACTTTAATAGATCAGACAGGGCATGGATGTCATTCGGCAGAGAGTTCCACCAGCCTGGGGCCAAGGCTTAGAAGGCCCTGGCTGAGGACGGTCGGACGTCTTTCTTGTGACGTGCCTCAGAGGTGCTGATTCAGACGCACACACACACCCCCAGCATATTTCTGAAGCAGGCCGGGGGAGAACTGTCAAACACCCCGCTTTGTCATATCCACCTAGAAAGATTTCCCTGCTCGGTGTGTGCGTCAGCATTTCCCCCAAATTTCTGAGAGCTGAGTGAATTAAAATGGAGGGCTTACTTTTTAAGGTTGTGTGAGGATTAGAATTGCCCTCCTTCCGGAAGGCAAGTCCATGGCAGAAACTCGTGTCCTTGGAGGGGCAGGGTAGCATTTGACTGCTTCTCTGCATCACCTGATCCAAGAGCACATGATTCAGGGAGGAAGCAGAATTACTCCTAAAAGAACACAAGAGAAGACGTGTTGGATCAGGCCAGTGGCCCATCCAGTCCAACACTCTGTGTCACACAGTGGCCAAAGCCCAGGTGCCACCAGGAGGTCCACCAGCGGGGCCACGACTCCAGAAGCCCTCCCACTGTTGCCCCCCGAGCATCAAGAAGAGAGAGCATCACTGCCCCAGACATAGTCTTCCATCTGTACCTTGTGGCTAACAGCCACTGTTGGACCTCTGCTCCGTGTTTATTGAGTCCCCTCTTGAAGCTCTCTCTGCCTGTAGCCGCCACCACTTCCTGTGGCAGTGAATTCCACGTGTTCAGTACTCTTCAGGTGAAGAAGGGCTTCCTTTTGTTTTATCCATTCTAATTTCACTGAGTGCCCAATGAGTTCTTGTATTGTGAGAAAGGGAGAAAAAGTACTTTCTCTACCTCCTCTATCCCATGCATAATTTCACAACTCTCTGTCATGTCACCCCTCAGTTGTCGTTTCCCCAAGCGAAAGGTCCCTAACCCCTTTCACAAGGCCAGAGCTGTCAAGCATACAGAGATACGGCAGGCAAACTCTTGTTGTGGATGGCTGCCTTGAGCCCACTAAAACCATTTGTGTTCTGTTTTGGGGTTTTTTTTTGCAGTGCACAATTTGGAAATTGCAGTGTGCATTGGTGTGTGTGCGTGCGACTGTCTACCCTCTGCTTGATGTGTGCGGTGTGTGTGTGAAGTGCCCTCAAGTTGCTTTGGACTTACAGCAGTCCTGTGAATGAACAGCCTCCAAAGCGTCCTCTCGTTCAAAGCCTTGCTCAGGTCTTGCGGACTTGGGGACCGCGGCTTCCTTGACTTGAGTCCGTCTCCTGCTTGGTCTTCCTCTTCTCTCGCCGCCTTTGACTTTTTCCTAGCACGATTGTCTTTCCCAGTGACTCTTCTCTTCTTATGATGTGACCCAAGTAGGGAATCCTCAGTTTGATCATTTTAACTTCAGGCTCGATTTGATCTAGAACCCACGGATTTGTCTTTTGCTTGATGCCTGACTGTTTTTTCCAGGCTGTGTGGCTTTGAACCGTTCTTCGACCCGAGAGGAGATCAGTATATGTATAGCAGGATTCTAAACTGTGACTACGAGTTTGTCTCTCCTTGGTGGGACGAGGTGTCTCTTAATGCCAAGGATCTGGTGAGTAAGTTTGAGTCCCGTCTACTAGACTGGGTGGGGGTCTTCTATATTATCTCGCTTTCTTCCGTTCACAAGCGGGTGAGGGATCCATATAGTCGTATGGATCTTTTTAAAAAACTTTATCTGGGGGAAAAACATACTGATGGCGCATTCTGCAGAGGTGCAAAAATGCACCCTTGATGTGAAAGCCACAGCAAGTGTGTGTGTGGGGTGGAGGTAGTGACCCTTTCAAACTGCCCTGGGGGAAAAGAGTCAAAATCTGGACGTTATGGGGTGGTGGTGGCTGGTTGTAGTAAAATAAAAAATAAAAATCCCCAGTTTCTGAGGCCACTCCCATAAGGAGGGGGAGTTTGCTCCTGTTTTGAGTCTAAACTGGAGTAGGGGCGATTCTACATCTAGCATTCGCTCCACATATTCTCAACTGGGGAGGAAAAGTGCAGCTCAAAACCCCATTCAAATACCCCAGGGCAAAGCCGTACTGACTGCAAAGTCACCCCTGAACGGCCATAAATCTATGCAGAAGGTACCATAAAAACCGATGATCAAAGGAAGCGAACTTGGCATGGAATGTGGAGGCTACCATAAAACCCGATCAAAGGAAAGTGAAAGCGGCATGCACTGCAGAGAGGAATTTCTGTTCCAACGTGGGTTCGGTAAAACAACGGAGGGAAAAGCCAATGCAGAATCAGCCTGGATTTCATTGGAACGTTTTATCTGCTTACTTACTTGCGTTGCTTATAGTCTGCCTTTCTCACTTGGATTCCAGGCAGATGATACAGAGTGAGTCAACCCCCTTGGCAAGGCAGGATGTTCCCTAAACAGTGCCATCAGAATTAGGGTTGTAGAACCAACCAGAAGTCTCAAAAAAACCAGCTGTATCAAACGTGAAGTGTTAAAATGACATGTGAAATAATGCAAAAATAATGACGTCGTAGGATCCTAGTTTCAGCAAGCTACACACAGGAGGAGGGGCCGGGGCACAGAGAATGTGTGCAAGGAAAGCCGCCGTGTGGACATGCTGCTGCTGCTGCTGCTACAGATGCCTCTGTATTTGCAGCTTCTTCCTGGGTCCCGTTAGCTGAAGACTGGCGAGAGAGAGGGAGGCATTTACTGGATGATTCTGCATTGGCATTTCTGTTATTCAAGCCGGTTGGAATAGATACAGACTGCTGTATACAGTCAAGAGAACTATGTAGAGCTTGGTGCTCCATCACTGGAGGTGGCCTGATGAAGTCCTGAAACTAGGCAGTCGCCACACCTCTTGGCAACTGTGTTTTGTGGACATCTATCAACTGTTACTCCTCTTAGTTTTGCGGACTTTTATCAACTGTTAGGAATTTGTTGAATAGTATTGGACTATTCACGTTGGTGTCTTCGGAATGGATCTGAATGGTTATTTAGAGTAAGGTAAAGGTAAAGGTTTCCCTGGCTCGAAAGCCAGTCGAATGCGACTCTAGGGTTGTGGTGCGCATCTCCGTTTCCAAGCCGAAGAGCCAGCGCTGTCCGAAGACATTTCCATGGTCATGTGGCCGGCATGACTAGACCCCGAGGCGCACGGAACACTGTTACCTTCCCACTGAAGCGGTACCTATTTATCTACTTGCAATTTCCTGCTTTTGAACTGCTAGGTTGCCAGGAGCTGGAGCCAGAGATGGGAGCTCACTCCGTCATGCAGCACTCGGGTTTCGAACTGCTGAACTACCGACCTTCCAGCCTGCAGTTCAGCGTCTTAACCACTGAGCCACCGCAGCTCCATTTATTTAGAGTAATACACTGTTAATATAAGAATGTTTTGATTCAAGTCTCAAGTATTTTTGGGTTCAGTGTTCCGGTTTTTGACAGTGCTGTTATACGCACATCCGATATCCAGGCGGCTAGAGGCCAAAACACACATCGATTCTGTCTGTTCCAGGGGAAACCCAGAAAGTGGGTGACTGGAAGGCAGCGTGGTGCGGAGCCTCCAGAAAGCCCTGCTCCAGTTTGGAATCCGGGGCAGAGCAAAACAGCCACGGGGCTGCACCTGGCCTCTCCCTGCCTCTTTCTCCATCTCCTCCTTGGCACGGTTTTTCTCCTGCCATTCCTCCAAGGAGTGTAGGGCAAGCTACCTGGTTCTCCTCTCCCTCTGGTATCCCTGGTGTTGTCATGACCGCTTTCTGCCCTGCAGGTTCAAAAACTGATTGTCTTGGATCCCCAGAAAAGACTGACGGTGCAGCAGGCGCTGGAGCATCCGTGGGTCATGGGCAAAGCCGCTAAGTTTGCTCACATGGACAGTACGCAGAAGAAGCTACAGGAATTCAATGCCCGAAGGAAGCTGAAGGTAAGGGCTGAGCAAGGGCTTGGGGGGGGGGGGAGAGAATGCCTCACTTAAGATGCCCTACATTGGAAAGTTTTTGGAAAGACATATTAACACACAAAGTACTTATAACTGGATTAAGGCTACAACTTACAGTGGAACATATAATACTAAACAGATGGATGCCTAATTATGGCTCTAACAGTACAAGAATTAGGGTAGCTATTCTTCTAGCAGCAGCTAGAAATGTGATTGCTCTACGTTGGAAGAATACTGCTACTCCAACAAAACAACACTGGCACACAAAACTTTGGAGCATGCATATAATGGCTAAAGTCACAGAAAATATAAATGACATGCATAAGCATGCAACTTCATCGGACTTTACAGCAGTTTGGTTCCCTATCTTGCAGTATTTAACTGATGAAGGTGAAATGCCATCTTTGATAGATGCTTTACATCTTTGGTAGTCTATAACCTGCAAAAAGACAATAGGTAGTACTGCCGTTAATAATGACAACGTTGCTTTTGTCAATATAACCAATAGTTAGCTCTGTATATTTTCTGTTTGTTACCTTACCTGTTGTACGTTGTATTTGTTCCTAATAAAAATTGTTATTGAAAGAAAAGAAGAAAAGATTCTCAGATTGTGAGTGCAGAGGTAGAAGTCCTCTGTTTGGCGTGGAGATCTTTCTTTCTTTTTTGGTATTTGTGTGCATATGTGTGCATTTGTATTTGTGTGCATATGTGTGTGTGTGTGCGTACCTGGGAGTCATGGTGACCTCCAGTGACTGACTCCTACTGGGGACCTGGAGGATATTCAGAGAGGTGGCTGAGTAAAGCCTGCCCCTGTCCTTCCGACTGCTGGTATTCCACGGAGGTCTCCCATCCAAGTGCTAACCACAGTCGACCCTGCTTAGCTTCCAAGGTTTGACGAGATTGGACTTGCCTGGGCTATCCAGGGCAGGGCAGGGGGGGGGATCTTGAACTGGGGACCCCAGAGCCTTGCCCTCGATGAAGTGAGACCAACCTACCTCCAGTGTGTGATGCATCATCCAGTGGCCCTGTTTCCTAGGCCTTCTGGTGATCGCTGAACAGAACAGGGCATTTTCTGCTGTGTCCAGTGTTCCCCCTAAGCTGAGTTAGTGTGAGCTAGCTCACAGTTTTTGAGCCTCTGGCTCACACCTTTTTGTCTTCGCTCAGGAAGGAGGGCTCCAGAGCAAACTAATTTATGCAGTAGCCAAATTGTTTGCTCACAACTTTAATGCCAGTAGCTCACAAAGTAGGATTTTTGCTCACAAGACTCCACAGCTTAGAGGGAGCATTGGCTGTGACCTCCTTTTCTTACGGAACTCTCTCCTTCCGGAAGCTGACGCATGGCCCTTGCCTCAGGCCTTCCGGGACCTGATGGAATCGGCCTCATTCCGGATGGCGTTTGACGGTTTCAACCTTATTTACGGTCCCGTCACACGAACACATTCCCTGGGAGAAAGGGCTGATCGGGGTCGCTCTATTGATCTCATTCTTATCACCTTCATTCTTGTGGCCAGTTCTTACACACCCAGGGAAATGCTGATCACCACTTTGGGGTCAGGAAGCAATTCTTCTCCAGTCCAATTTGGGCAGGGATCCTGGAGGGTTTTTGCCATCTTCTGGTCACCGGGGGGGGGGGGGGGGGGGTTGGGGAATTTCTGCCAGTGAAATTCCTGCATTTTGCAGGGGGTTGGACTGGATGACCCTGGAGGTCCCTTCCAACTCTACAGTTCTGTGATTCTCTCTGTGTTCTCTGCTGGGGCCTGTGGATTCAGTGCTGCAGATTTAAGAATCTTCTCTGTGTTCCTTCTGCTTGCTGCTGCTACGTTTGGTTGTGGTTCTGTTCGTTTGCAGGGGGGGGGCAATCGATCAAGTGACAAAGGCATTTTGTAAAGACCCAATGTCCTCTCTCTCCTTGTTGTATACAGGCGGCAATGAAAGCCGTCGTCGCTTCTAGCCGTCTGGGCAACCACGGCCACCACGACGGTTCTAGGAATGGGCGTCATCCGGATACGGCCAAAGAGCCACGCCTGGACCAGGGAGCAGAAAGCACCCTCGCTGTTGAAGACGACCTTTATAGTAAACCCTCCGGGACCAGTTTGTCAGATGCCGGCTCGGCACCTCCCTCGGCTGAGGCCGAGAACCTTGAATCATTCCGGACTGAGTACTCCGTTGCCCCGGCGGTTGCGGTGAATGGCACCGGCTGCCCGAGTTAACCCTGCAGGAGTTCCAGCTCTTTTGCTCTTGCCAACCATTCAAGGGGTCAAAGTCTATCCTGCCCCCCACACGCTGTGGAGAGACCCCCACAAAAGCCACCTGCCGGATTGGGAGAGTGTGCAGAGGGAAGGGCGGCGCTTCTTAACGAAGAAATAATCTGGTTGTGTATAGCTTTGCTTGCGGATGCTCTGGCTTCAGTTACCAGTTTCACTCCTGCTACGGACTTTACCCCCCCCTCCAAATGTTCCCGAAACGTAAACAAATTTTAATGACCCGCTATTTAAAAAAAAAAGGGGGCTAGCAGAGGAAAGCAACCGTGTGGCTAGCTTGAAAAAGAAAACAGAGATACAAGCGGACTGCTTTGAAACTACCCCAGATTTGATATGTAATCGAAATTTTGATTTTTGTTTCCATCAAGTAATTTTGGCAGTTTTAACTAAAAAAAGGCACAACTGGAGAGCCAGTTTGGTGTAGTGGTTAGGAGCATGGACTCTAATCTGGAAGAACCCCAATCCGCCACATGCAGCTGCTGGTGTGACCTTGGGTCAGTTACAAGTTCTCTCAGAGTTGTTCTCTCACGAGCAGTTCTCTAAACAGCTCTCTCAGCCCCACCTACCTCACAGGGTGTCTGTTGTGGGGAGGGGAAGGGAAAGGAGATTGTAAGCCACTCTGAGACTCCTTTGGGTAGTGAAGGGCGGGGTATAAATCCAATCTCCTCCTCCTCTTCTTCTTTGGGATATTGTTTTCAAAGGGGTGGATTTGTAAAATTTCAGCACTTACGTGCATAGAGTCACTTTCCATTTTAAGGGGCAAGATTGTGTGATAGTATTGTGTAAGTAGCCTTTTACTGGATATGGGGAACAGGTTTTTGATCTGTAACAGTAGGTGATCCTTGTTAATAATCACAATGATAATAATAATTTAAATTATAGACCTAGAGAGACTGTAAATAGATTCAGGTAGGTAGCTGTGTTGGTCTGAAACAGCAGAAGAAAGTTTGAGTCCTTTGGGTTTTCTGGGTACAGGGTGCATGCAGACTTCTTCAGATACATCTCTTGTTAATTAAGAAATACATTCTTCAGATACATCTGAAGAAGTGTGCGCGCACTTGAAAGCCTTATACCCAGAATAAAATCTAGTTGGTTTTAAAGATGCCACTGGATTCTGTAAATAGCCAGAGTAGTCTAAACATTCGATTGCGGGTAATGATTCGCTCGCTCAGTAATCCCCATCTTCTGTAGGCTGGGGTACACCAGTGTGCTATGGGAAAACTGACAGGAATCAATAAAACAACAGAAAGGCTCTGCAAAGCACAAAGAACGCATCCACCCGGAGGAGCCTGACTGCTGTTTCTCTACATGGCATTTGGCCTCGTCCCCTCCGGTGTGTATTTCTGGTAGGGTGGTAGCGGTTCTCTGTCTTCATTGGGATGCAATCCAGTTGCTACTGATGTGGCAGATTTGTCTGTCTTCCAAAGAGGTTATCTATTGCATCTCAGTGAATCTGTGTTCTGACCTTGCCTCATTCCCATTAGCCTTTGCTGGGGGGGCAGGGGACATGATTTTTAACATAGAGGCACAGCAGAACTAGACCATCCACAGATGAGACTGTTGCGTCTCTGCTTGTGTTCATGTTCAGTTGTTGACTCCATCCATTCAGGAGGCACTGGTCTTGTGGCAGTGAAGGGAGTGAGCAGAAGAGAAGCAAGGAGATGCCTGTCAGGATGATGCTGATCAGCTAGCAAAATGCCTTTCGTTGCAACAGACAATGCATTGGGGGGGGGGCGGCAGAGGGGGAGAAGGGGGGCCATGTGTCTCTTGGTGCTCTGTGTGCAGATACGCTGCAGCAGGGCTATTTTTGGGCAGGAACGCACAGGAACAGAGTTCCGGCTGGCTCCCAAGTTGGCCACACCCAGCAGGAACTCATTAGCATAATAGGCCCAAGAGCAGAACCTTATTAGGATTGGCTACATTAGGGGTGTGTGGCCTAACATGCAAAGGAGTTCCTGCTACAAAAAAGCCCTGGGTTTTGACAACAAACAAAGTAAACAGAACAACAAGCAAAAGGTGGGTGTGGCTGGATGACCACACTTCTGGTAACATGTGGGTGCGGCCTAATGGGCTAACGAGCTGTGCTGTCAGGGGTGTGGCCTATTATGCTACTGAGTTTCTGCTGTTGGGTGTGGCCTATTATGCTAATGAGTTCCTGCTGGGCTTTTTCTACAAAAAGAGCCCTGCACTGCAGGTGTAGGAGTGCTGTTGGGGGGGGGCAGGGCTAAGGATGGGTGGAGTGCAGGAGCTGCCCTTGGGATACAAAAGCAGACTTTACGTTTTCCTGTAGCAGAGAAGGACAAGTGTCGTCTAGCAAAACAAAAAACGGTACGGGACCAGGACAGGAGGTGGACCTGCCCCGAGGCGATCCTGGCTATTAACAGTGCTCCTTCTGTTCGCTTAGCTCCTTCATCTGCATGGCCCCATCCTTGGTCACAGTAAAGCAGAGGATGTTGTAGGCCTGGAAACAGGCATTTATATAGCTCAGGGTTCTCCAACACGGTGCCCGCAAGACACCTTTCTTGGCTTCCACCAAGTGCTTGTAGAAAGTGGGAAGGGCCAGGTGGGGCTTTTGCTCAGTAAGGCTTCTGATTGGCCATAGGAGATTTGATTGGCTGTGCAGATATTTCAAATTTTTGCTTTGCCAGCAGCTGCCCCCAAAGTATAAGGATCTTCACTGTGTGACAGAAGGTGAGCTGCGGCAGCCATTTTGTGGCTGGCTGTGCCTCACGAGGCAGCCATTTTATGGCTGGCTCTGCCTCATGAGGCGGCCATTTTGTGGCTCTGCTCCCCACACTGTGTCAGAATTCTAAAGGTGCCCACAGACTGGAGAAGGTTGGGGAACCCTGTTGTAGATGGATAAGACAAGACATGCAGAAAGTATCTGAAGCTAAGGAAACCAGTCTCTTTTCCCAAGGGACTCACGATCTAAATGCTGAGAAAGACAAGAAGCAGTAAATAATGGATATGCATTTCGTCAGTCTGACCTGGGCTAATATCCGATCCCAGACACATTAATCTGAGAAGGACCCCCTTGGAAACCACTCTCCAAAGTGTCGTAAAAGAAGCTTCATTGGGACACGGGTTAGCATCACCAGGCACACTGGGTGTGGTGACTCCCCACAGGAAACATTTTCAGCCTCAACTTGCCCAGGTTTCCCAGTTTGGCGTTCCACCCCCACACAGCTCCAAGATCCCTCTACCCTCAGCGCAGTCCTCCTTCAATTTGCTATGGAATTTCTTCTTCCCAATCCATTTCTGAACTTCAGAGTATCTGTGACTTGACCCACTGGACTCTTCTGTCCTACAAGGGATCTTACATGGTGGGGATAGCATCTAGGAGTCCATCTGCAAGAGGCAAGAGTTGTTGGGGCCATCCCATCAAGGCATCATCCAAACGGCTAATGTGGATAAAGGGATGGTCCTGCTGCTAAGATAAGAGATTGTTGCTAACGCCTGACCTCCTCCTCCTCCTGAGAAGACAGTTCGACGCGGCTGGTGGAGTAAGCATTTTCGAGTGTTTGACCTCTGTAGTAAACCTTTGACGAGCGTCTAAATACACAAAGGTTCCAGACAACTCACTATGTGGACTACCAACACAATATTTCAGTTGAACGGTTGCCTGAAATCCAAGGGCTAAGCTTTCGCTTGTAATAATATCGCTTGCAATCACCTGCTTATTGCATCCCAAACCTAGAGAAAAATACGTTATGTTCTTGCAGTTGAGAAGAGCCCATCTTGGGCAGCAGCTGGAAGGTCCGTTTCCATTTACTCAGCCATCTACTCAGCTGGGGGTTGAAAAACACCCTCTCTGTAGCCTGCCCTTTAATTAGGAAAGCAATTAAGAGCTGGCCGGTGGGCCAAGGTGTCAGGTTTCATTGTTAAGGCAAAGGAAAGCCTTGATGCCTTTTTAGCAAGGGGAGAAGCAGGAAATTGGCAAGGAGCTAGCCCTTGCAAGTGAAGGAAGGTGACAGGAAACTGGTTTTTATGGGCCTGGTTTTTATTGGGATCCTGTTTACCGCTTGGTTGGGTAAGCCCCACCTGGTGTTTTTAGCTACGTGGGTGAATGAAAGAATGTGAGGGGAGAGAGAATGCCTTTGGTAACGTATGCATCCCATCATATTAAAGGGCTTGTGAATACAGTGATGTTTTTCATTCCAATCAATGCATTTCTTTAGTGGTGCTGATTTTTTTTTTAATTCTGCACCAGCATGTGGCTATCTTTGTATGGTCTGTTAGCTCGATTTAGGTGCAAGCGTATACGAGGCTGCTTTTACGCTCTTTGTCTCCGGATGGGGTTGTGCTCTTCCCCCCCACACACACACACATGCTTTCGTTGGTGTTGTGGTGCCTGCTGTCATCCCTGTAGTACGCTTTCCTTCCAATGCAAGGAAGTCTCTAGCAGCAGCTGCTGGCAGCGCCCAGCAGAAATGCCAGATGTTGTAGTTGCTTTCCAAGGTGTGATAGAATGGACTTCTCCGATTATGGGGTGGGGCTGTGGCTTCTCCGGATGGGGTTGTGCTCTTCCCCCCCCCACACACACATGCTTTCGTTGGTGTTGTGATGCCTGCTGTCATCCCTGTAGTACGCTTTCCTTCCAATGCAAGGAAGTCTCTAACAGCAGCTGCTGGCAGTGCCCAGCAGAAATGCCAGACGTTGTAGTCGTTTTCCAAGGTGTGATAGAATGGACCTCTCCGATTATGGGGAGGGGCTGTGGCTTAGTGGTAGAGCATCTGCTTGGAATGCAGAAGATCCCAGGTTCAATCCCCAGCATCTCCAGTTAAAAGGATCCAGGTGGTTGGAGACATGAGAGACCTCCGCTTGAGACCTGGAGAGCTGCCACCAGTCTGGACCAATGGTTTAATTCGGTTATCAGGCGGCTTCATGTGCGTTCATGTGTTTGTGCCCAAACCAGCACCACAGCAGGGGAAAGCTGATTGGTCCTCAGAGAGGGTCTTCCATGGAGAAGATGGACATAAATCGGTCTTTTTGGACCTCTTGACTATAGCACCACAATCCTGTATGCTTTTAGGGCACATGGCTAGCACACTGTCACGTGGGTTGACAAGACAATATTCCAAACCCCTCATGAATCTAAGCTGAGTTGGTGTGAGCTAGCTCACAGTTTTTTAGCCTCCGGCTCACACATTGTTGTCTTAGCTCAGGAAGGAGGGCTCCA